ATTCTGAAGCTGACCTCCCTTTTGTGTCGTATCAGATACAGCATCAAGAGCTTTCTGATCATTTATTGTGGCTGCATTAGCATTGCTCGAGTTTAATTCTTGATCACACTTATTTTCTATTATAGCACTAGTACTTGACCTCTCTTCAGCTTTCTCTTTCGTTTCTTCGCCACTATCTTCATTACTCTTAGTTGCAGGAAATAGTTTCTCTGTTCTATTTGCTTGTATTTCACTATCCTTGGAGTCTGAAAACTCTGGCTGATCTTTCTCTCCTAGTGATGCAGATGTGACGATAAGATCTCTTTGATTGTTATTCCAAGCATTATTAGCAAAGTGAAAACTATTGATTCTTGATTTTGACTGTAACTATTACCTGCTATGATTACTGCATTACTTTTTCCTTCTTACCTTGGGTATTTATGCCATCATTCTTACTATCAGAGGATGTTCTTTCAGTTATACTTGCTTTGGCTTCCTTTGCATCTAAATCTAAATTCTTAATTTGATCGTCCTCTATTAAATTATTAGATGCGGTAGTTTGATTGAATTGATCTTTACTTGACACACTGGTAAGAGCATTCGAATCCAAGTCTTGGTTGTCATCCTCATTTTCTGTTGCAGTATTCTTTTTAATTGTTTTATCTTCATCACTAGTAACATCTACACTTTCCTTTTCAATTGCCTTAGTATTCTGCTCGGTCTTGGTAAGTTGCATTATATTAGCATGTTCATGATCAGCTGACTCTTCATTGGTTGTGCCGCTTAGCTCAGAATTGGAATTATTTTCTAGAGTTGTTTGATTCTCTTGCGATGAAGACTGGTGATCATCAGCTGATTCATCATTGCGGGTAGACTTAGCACTTGCATCGTTATCATCATCATCATCTACATCTGATGATATTTGATTGGAGTTTGCAGTAATAGTACGTGTTGCATCACGAGTTAACTGACGATGTTGTGATGGAGTTATAATTTCCTCCTGATTGGAAGTAGGGAGAACTTGATCAGCCTGCTGAGTCAATCCTTGGGTCTCCTCCTGTAACGAAGAATCCTTCTGTGTTGCATTGATATCGTCGTCATTGTTATTATTTTTATCGATATTTATATCATTTGAGGCAAGTTGACTATTATGATCATCAGCTGATTCATCATTGCGGGTAGACTTAGCACTTGCATCGTTATCATCATCATCATCATCTACATCTGATGATATTTGATTGGAGTTTGCAGTAATAGTACGTGTTGCATCACGAGTTAACTGACGATGTTGTTGAGATAGAGTTATAACTTCCTCCTGATTGGAAGCAGGGAGAACTTGATCAGCCTGTTGAGTCAATCCTTGGGTCTCCTTTTGTAACGAAGAATCCTTCTGTGTTGCATTGATATCGTCGTCATTGTTATTGTTTTTATCGATATTTATATTATTTGAGGCAAGTTGATTATTAGATTGAGTGGGGTCATTTCTATCGGCTTCATGATTGCTTTGACTATCTTTCGCCGTTGGTTTAGTATCCGCTGTGTCAGGTATCACTTGCAACTTATCATGAACATGTTGATTATCGCCTTTCTTTTCGTTTTTAGTATCGTTCGTTTCTTGCTGTAATTGTGCAGTCTGACCTTGATTAGGATCAGATGATTGCTGTTGTTGGTTATCTTGACTAGAATTCTTGAGCCTTTCGTCAACATAACCCACTTTATTGATAGTTAACGCACTCTGATGTAACCTGTCCTTTTCGATTTGACTACTAGCATGGTTAACGGCATTTGATTCATTGTAATTGTTATTATCATTATTATTATTATTGTTATTATTTTTATTATCATTTTTATTGCCATCATTCGATCGTATGAGAATATTGGAAAATTGACGTTGTGGTGATGGAGTTTTATCGTTTTTATTCTGATCGGATTGATTATCATCATGAGTGTTTTTACCAACAATAAGAGGTTGAATAGAATAGCAATCACTTCCAAATATCGTTTTAGCAATCAATCGAATAGTTTCTACAAATTCTTCTCCGCTACCTGTCTCCGCTGCATGCCATAATTGCTTCCGAAAAAGGTTTAAATCATTCGATTGCGTATCATTTTGTGGTGAGGTAGAATTTTGAGCAGCATTTTGGCTTGAATTATTCTGACCAGGATCAGTCGTTGTTGTGGTCGTATTGGAAGCCATCACGACTATTTTCTTTTACTCGTATATGACAAATGAGCAATCACCTGTAGCGATAGCCAATAAATTAATGCATCGACTCCGTGACAGTCATGAAATTGATACTTGTATCCAAGATATCGATCAATCATTAATTAATTGATTAATTTTAGATCTTACTTTACCTATCTGTGCCACTAAGCAGTAAGAGGCTGATGGTTGTGTGCTAGTATCACAGCTCTGGAGAAATGATATGAATCGATTTTAATGAGTTATTCGTCTCTTTGAGAAAGTGGTTAAGGACAGGATCCTCTAATTAAGTCTTTCTTGACGGCGCACCACCCACCTGCCGCTTGCCTGGACAGCAATTAGGATGTAGGGTCCCAATAGGATATTGAGTTGGGGCTGACCAGTACCGGCTGACAGATCGCTAAAAGAATCAATGCAGTATATCTAGTAGTGATAGGCTCCAATTGGCAATGTAGCAACTCTTGCAATGGACTACAGCAACGACTTAAAGTAGATCTAGCTCTACACCACCTTGATCGAAGATAATATGTCCTTTATCAATGTAAAATTACTATAAAAGTCCACAAACAGCCGATTCGACAGACTGAGAGAATTGGCTAAATCACCATAGCGACTTGAACTGAGACTGCCGGACTGGTGTGGAGTCCAAGTGGATTTATAACCAGGACCTAACCCGGTCCGGTTCAGCCCTAGAGTCCATGACCGATCCGGTACTATAACGGACCGTGACGGTAATGAAGTGGTCCCGAATTTCCTGGCTAAGCGGGCACTTCTCGTGACCTCGAAGAAAAAGAAAGACAAAGAGATCTTTACCTCGTGACCTACGGCAAGCATGCCCATTGCCCAATTGCCTATGGTATGAACGATATTGCGCAGCTGCGCTCGAGGCATGGAGGGAAAGGAATGACGTCATGCAAATGCAGTAGCAGGCAAAATTTAGCCTCCATTGGAAGAGAATTTTCCCTTTAATGGCAGCTCAGAATAAGAGCCTTTCTAGTTTCGCGATACCGCCGTAGCGAATGTATTCACCATTCCTATGTACGGGTAAAAATGCCACATTACGGTACTATAGGACAACACTACACTCATTATGATTGTGTCATTTCTACTGTCCAATCAGTGTCGTATTCATTAATTGTTGACGTTGTCCAAACATGGACGTAAGTAGTAACTCCACTTAAGCTCATATACTGTCATAATCCACAATCAGCGATCAACAGATACTCGATTTTTATTATGCCCAGGTAGATATGATGCAGATAGAAATTCCCTTTGCAATACAGGAACTTGGCATTTTCCTTCTTTCTTTTGCTTCCACAGTTTCCCCTTGGGTTCCGCGGCTAGAACGATAATTGAACTATTTATGATTGATTGATCACTGTTTTGCAATGATCGACTGTACAAATGGGTAATTGTGTATTGGCCATTGCGGACGATGTACCTGTCATAGCGGTCTCGTATAACATTAATTAGTTACTGTCATCAATCAAAGGAAGTACGGAGTTGAGTCAGCTGATATTGGCTTTGCTTACAGTATAACAGAATGTCGTGTACAGTATACCAGTGATGAAATGGATATCGCGATTTAACCGGTGTTGACAACATAGCTCACCGATTAGATACGATATTGGCTTTACACATTTTGGGATGTTGTGCAGGACAGTAAGATAGACTATCTAATAAGGCTCCCACACATTTAGCAATATTACTCCGAACTCAGTAGAATCCATGGAGATGAAGTCTATAGTTGTATATCATACAAAAGTAACAAGCGAGTCAAGCTGGTATAGCTTAGGCTTTTGAAAGTTCAAAAATTTGCCATTTCCTATAGTAAGCCTATATTGTACAGTGTACCCGGACTACTAGATATTTCCTGGAAAATTTCTAGTAGTCCGTGATCTATCAAACAGGCTTACTAAAGTGCAGTAATTTGCAGCTGGAGTATGAGAAAGTTGAGCTATTGTTGAACTTTGAAAAGCCTAGGCCACACCAGTTTTATGTTGAGGTCATTTTTGGTGATAGATGGACCATCGGACGTTGGACTCGACTGAGTCAGCAATTCCTGTATTGGCTTCATCAGTGGTCTATTTCGTCGACTATTGTATACTCGTAAATACAGTAAGACACCATAATTCCATGTCATCATTCATTATTCATTCATCAATCAATGAATATTTGACCTCTCTTCCTTTGGGAATGGCCAACATCGACTTGGAAAGAGACAGGAAAGTGCGGCCAACTTTCCATCCTGTACTCATTATGATCCAAGTCATGATTGAATGCAGCAGTCTTGACACATGTACCCTGTGCAATGCTGTAGACAGATTGTCTCTAGATACCTATTTCTATATTTTATTTTCAGATTGTACAGGCAGTAAAAGTCCAATCGATACTTGACTTGGCATGGAAATTTCTCGAAATTTGGCAGCATGATCCAACACTTGACCATCTTCCATCATCGTCATCCATAGTCGAATGGGCCAATGATGCTTTGTGATTACGTCACACGATCCTATTACAGTACATACTGTACCAGTGCAAAATACCGTAGTGTACCGTACAAATACAGTGTCTTCACTCTACTGTACAGTACAGTACAACCTCACAACGATCTCATTACAGTACTGTACATACTGTACTGAACCAGTGCAAAATACTGTAGCATAGTCTGCACTGTACACTGTACATTATACGGTGTACAGTGTACAGTGTACAGTATACACTATACAGTATATAGATACAGTGTCTCCACTCTACAACCTCCATAAAGTCGATCAGAATAGACAACATGTCGGAGAGTTCTTCTAGCCAACAGCAAGCCACCAGGCCGCAATCTATGAAGGTAATAAACGACGATAGAGTAGTCATCATCCAATGCTTTTAGCCCATAGAGGATCATGACTTGAAAATTTTTGAAAGGAAGAATTGAAACTACTATTTTCTGGTCTCCCCCCCCCCCGTTGATAGTGCTGTACTAAGTCATCAATCATGTCATTGATTTCCAATTTGTCTTTTTCGCTTTGCCCATGCCTCTGCTTGTACAGTTTGCCATTCGACGACTAAGCTATTCCATCCTTGGAATAAACGACAGAAAAAAGGATTGAACAAGTTCAATGGATGATGTATCCTCTTTGTAGTCTTATCAGTAGTGTCAATAGTCTCCCATTCCATTTCATCAAAGGGATTGACGATGGCTGCTCAACGATCATCAGCAGCATTTGCTTCTTTATTAGCTAGAGCATACAGAAGTGATCATGCTGATGGATCATACTACACTAAAAGCCATTCAGTCATCATGACGACTAATCGAAGGGATAGGATCCATCCTAAAATAAGCTAGTTCAATCACTCAAATAGTAGATAGTATCAATGTGCTGCCAGCGACATCACTACAGGATCATGGACGTGAAATGAATGGGATCCGCAAAGCGCTTTCCTTGTCTGTCCGACCAAACAAAGACGGATCGTTCCCGATTGCGATAGCCTACATATTTTCTTCTCCACACCGACTGAAAGAATCAAAATCCTTCACTTACACCCTATAAATGAGTAACTGTTGATATAACTTTTAGTATTAACTGCAGTGCTATAGCATTATGCAACAATGACGGTACTTGTACTCAATGATCAGCAAACTAGTCATAGAGATACTAACCTATTCAATCGGCTCTATCCCTTTTCGATTTAGCGTAAATTACATTCCCTCACTTTTCAAGTTCTTTGCAATTTATACTGGTAGTCCTTATATCAACGTGGATCAAACTGTCTATTTCTAAATGATGGTCCTCAATCGTGCGTAGCTAAGGCCATCAAGTTAATGACGTTCCATAGACTTATGAAAGAGATGCAATCGATAACTATCTATCGTAGCATCAACACTCTCAACCAGTCCAATTGTAGGATAGTATATACGTCCTGTCAGCAAATAGGATCAAAATTGCCATAAGATAAATGAGATCTATATGTATTTTAGTGGAGAAACAATCTTAATTCTCATATGGACTATATCCTAAAAATCCTTCAATTTGTATGAGCATAGACACTACATAAATGAGCAACGAGGAGAATATCTTTGTTCACCACTCTAGTGTATTGCATAGTTCAATGCGTGATGGAACTGTATAGCTCTACTATCCACTATAGTCGAAACGACATGAAAGTGAAAATCAATCAATTCTGAATTAATCCCTTGTTCATTTACCTTCTTGGATAGGAATTTTTAACCCAGAATAAATTGCAGACTTGTATGTGGATCTCCAGAATTGTAACAGTATGGAGTTGCATCTTTTATATTCTTCCTATTACTGGGTAAGTTATTGTAAACGTCGGAATTTTCTTTTGCATTTACTGTACTGTATACTCGCATATACTGTATATATATGAGCATAGAGAATAAGGCAATAAGAACAGAATCAACAAAATACTTCCATGATAACGAAAAAACGATCGTAATTTTAGAAATAATGAGCAAATAGTATCGCCATCAAATTCTCTAGACAGACGCTCTAATAAAGAGAAAATGAATTTTTTACCTATTCTACGCTAGAATTCAACTAGTACACTACAGAAGAGCAATAATGTGTGGTGCCATTACTTCCTCCATACGAACTTATCAACGTTCTCCGGTAATTAGAACTAGCAATGTAATCACCGTGTATTGATGTACTTACCGATTGTAAGCCTTGCTATCCAAATTTTAAGTATCTGATGTGCCATCTTGTATGTTTATGAAAATTCACATCAGTTATGTTAAATCATTTAATGATCATGCAACGGGTATTTTGTGATAGTAGTGTACCTGTCCATAGTTCATCAACGTTCGTATTGTAGATTTCATATTAAATTAAACGTTAATCCAATTTTAATTAACGAACCAAAAAATTGTGTGCATTAAACTATCAATTTTTATCTAGTATTCGTCCCTAGATTATCATGTAGTGGGTAAATATAGCCATTGAATTAATGAGATATGAGCGTACACACGAAGTAATCAATATTGCTAATGTTTACTGTCCAAAATCAATAATTCAATTTTGCTTTATAACTATTAAATAGATGTGTTGTAGTACTTCTACATGCTATTGTACGGTATATAGTTACTGTTTTTGTATTGTACCTCAAGTTTTCATCAACTTTAAAGTCCAGTCAATTAACATCATGAATGGGACGGGAGACCTTCATCATTTTATTTCATTCCTAACCTATCAAACGAAAGCTAGTATGATTGTATTCTTTCTGTAAGAGTCTTTGCAAATATCACGCGAATGCTTTAACCGACTTGTTCGAGAAGATAGCTTCTATTATCTTCTATTCTGTTTCTTTTTCATGTCTTCAAGTCTAGTCAATTTACATCAGTAATAGAACAGTGGCAGCCATCCTTTTATGTCATTTGAAACTGTTAAAATAAAGAGTAGTACGATTGTGTTATTTCCTTTTAGCCTTTTCAAATGTCACGCGAATACTTAAACCAACTTGTTCGAGAAGATAGCTTCCATTATCTTTTGTTCTGTTTCCTCTTTATGGCCCATATGCCGATAACCCGTAAGTAAAAAGGTTACTAATAACTTGACCATTATTTGATTTACCATTTTGAATTTAAAATAGTTCATTTGTGCTTTTGTGTCTTTATCCGAGAGTAGTATTTTACACATTGGTAGACTATATATGCGCATGTATTTGCAATTGCATTAATAATAATTATAATATGAAAAGCGGTAACTTAAAGATTTTATCTGTTTCAGCTGTTTTATTTCCAGTTGGTATCTTTGCTCTATTACATGCTTGTACATTCACAACTACGCTATTAAACGTAAGCATCTCTTGAATATCTTGTATGGTCTCTTTTATATCATAAAATTTTCTAGAGCTATGATAACTTACTTTTGTCAGACTTTATAATGATTCACCCACTATTACTGACTCATACAATTATCTTCAAATTCATAGCTTACTAGCCCTGGATCATTCCAGTATGTATAATAGTACCTACTGTTGCTAACATTACATATCATTTGAAACTTAATCCTTACATTGTACATCCATTATCATCTAGGATGCTTCGTGGATTAACCAGTTACGTTCATCAAAAGCAACAAATGTTGATGATGTTTGCTGCGTCTACTGAAGTTATCTTGATGCCCATGGTTATATTCCAATTGTTTTCGTATGTTATTCACTCGAAGGAGCTATATGATTATAAAGGATTATCTATTACTAGAATAACTATGCGATTCGACATCAAATGTAATTATGATAATCTGTAATTAAAATCTTTTTTCAGTGGTGGTGGCAGTATTTTGCTACCTTTCGTCTATTACAGATTTCTTTGTATGCGCTATACTTCACAAAGAAATCCATATTCTAGGTTTGTACCTTAGCTACTACTACTTTTAATGACCTAATGCTGCAGATAGTGTCCACCTCTACTAACTATCATTTCATCTATGTGATCATTTATTAGGCAAGTTTTCTATCAATACCGTTTGGCCATAGAGTATCTAACTTCCCGACCAAGTTGCCCTGCATTCCTTAGGACCTTTGGATATCGATTTATAAACTTTGTAAACAAGTTATGCCCATAATTTCTAATTGATCGAAGTACAGGCACATTTCACCTCGGCCTTTAAGGCTCACTGTACTGTACTTATGATATTACATCGATTTAAATAGCAACTGTTTACCATAAATTATTACGGAGTCTTCTGTAGTGCTTGAAATTGTTGATCAAAGGCTGACTTAACCAATATACTAACTTCAGCGATTTTTTGATCTCAATCATACCTTACCTTTTGTAATTACACTGCTTCATAATAAAGCGTGCGAATACACGTCAGGATATGCCTGTGTTGTATATGCATCATAATGTGAGGAATTGTATGTGTATGAGTAAATTCAGTTTACATTACAGTATACTTTAGCTAAACATTTTATAATTTTAGCTTTTTATCTTATTGAAAACTGAGTATATCAGCCACTCTATAGATTATCGTTTACATTTACTCATTGAACACGTTGAATCTTGCAATCACTGCTGTAATCACTACAGCTTCCATTATGTAATAGATCCTCATTTGTACATCCGAAGTAATCAAGTGGACATTGTTGGTTTAGCACAGATTAAAACCGGCAATGTATGTGTATTTCAAGGGTGAACTTTGATTCTTTTATTGAAATGAACTTGATACTTGATATCAATTTCTCATAAGCAGTGGCAATACACTACTATTATTAGAAAATCATAAACTGTCTTTAATTCTTATAGATTTATATTTATTGTACATTCATTCATCTTTGGATCATATCACAGCGGAAATCATTGCTGCTGTTTTATGTGGTATTATGTAATAAATATCCCTTTTATGTCCCGAATACCAAAAGTATTTTAAGTTATATTTTAGATAAACCATACAGTGACGTCCAATGCAAGCCTTACAATGAAAGCATACAATAGTACAATTTCGTACTGTTCAAGACCCCAAGATGCTAGTGGAAGTCCTCAAAGCCCTTATACGAATTGATTTCAGTATATGAAAAGACGCTTCAATTTTACTTCAAATACCTATATTAAAGTACTAGTTCTCATTATGTCAATTAGCACTACACCGTTATCATATGAAATAAACTTGCTTTGATATAATCTAAATTAATTAAACATCCGAACTGAAGAGATTTTTTATATGTAAAATACGCGTCGCAACGCGGTAACCGCATCAGATGTGCAAAAACGGCACCAACATTGAAACTAAGGGTTACAGTTTCATGCAAATCAGCCGTAAGTGTTTACCTCTTAAGCCTATAGAATCAATTACAAAGAAAAGGTGAAATGATATAACCATAGAAAATTTTTAGATAGCGGCAATATGCTGTCTATAACGGTAATGGTACAGTTATTGATTAAATTAAACGAATATATATACAATACGATACAAAACGTTTTTATCAACGAGAAAGAATGATCACTAAGATACAATCTTATGACGAAAAGGAAGTATTTTATCTCACTTCCATAATGTAAAATAGCAAATACATTACTTTATCTTTTCATTGCACTTCTTCAGACGTATAACGTAAATTTAAGGGCAGAACGGGCCATAGTATCGGATGATTTTTATCAGAATAAGTATTAAACGATAGTTGAAGTTGAGTTTCTAATTGCTCTATTTCCATAGCACTATCACCGTACTTTTCATTTAATCTTGCCTTTCTAATATCAGTAGCATCTTCGGCAGATTCATCTATTTTTACTCCTAGTATCATTTTCTCTTCTATGAATCAAAGAGTAATTTATTAACGCTAGTAATTACTTTATTACAATCACTCATCAACTGTCAAAGTTACAAAGACTCGGATGCCACTACCGAATACCTAACGGCATACTTAATAATACACGACACTTAAAATAAGTACTAATAAATTATATTGTATGCAAAGTACCTTCTTCTTTTTCCATTTGTCTCTCTTTTAGTTTCCTCTCTTTTAAGGCAAAGTATAATCGTTACATAATCATTCACAATAATTTTATATCGATTCTAATAGCAAAATAGGTAGCTATACTCACTTCACTTGTATGAAATCACAAGTAAGCGTTATCTACATTAGCTCCCTTTCAATATGTAGATAAATAAGTATCACTGAATTACAATTTCATACCTTGACGACGCTTCTCCGATTGTATCAAATATTCTAGAAATACTTCATTTAGGGTAAATGTTGGTTCCTCTTCGCCTTCATTGTCATCATCTACTTCATCCGGTTCTTCCTCTACAGCAGGATAAGTAGTCTCTATTCATAAATAAATATATATCATTTGGCTTGATGCTTCCACAAAATACCATTTGTATATTGATTTAATAATTATATAATCTACAAGACAATATACGAGACTCTATTAGTATGCTACAGCGCCTACGGTATCACCGGTGTGCTTAGTCCGTATACTGCATGTAGCATAATACGATCCACTATTGCATGTAAATATTATCGGAGTATGGAGTAAATTCGTCATCTTTTATCAATTTTAATTTAATGCATCAGTTACCAGACAAGGATGAAAGCTTGCTATAGTACAAAATACTATCACTGCCTATGAATGGTTCAGGACTCCACTAGACAGTACAAAACACTCTCTCATCATAAAAATGACGCGATGTCAGTGCATAATAAATCAGATACTGATGTTAGCACCCGTTGTTAGATTGAGTTTTAGTACTAGTTATTATAAACAGAATAATCTAGCAAAGTGCACTATGTGGGAATTACGATGCATACCTGAAAACCTGTTGTTATTCACTAGATATGGATCATTAAGATACTCGTCATGATTATATTGGGAAGGATCATACTCGTATTCAGCCTTATTAGGCTGGTGATGTCCATAAGGTAGCCATCTTTCATCAGAGGGTGATTCTGAATGATAATCGTGTACTTGATTCCAATAATTCCAATAATACTGATTATAATAACTATAGTAGTAGTAGTACTGATTATAATAATGATTATTATAACTATGATTGAATTGGGGAGGTATGGTGTGATAATTTGGCAGCCAGTTGCAATAAGGATAATAGTTACTATTATTATTATTATTATTATTATACCAGTAATGATAGTAATCACGCCATCGAGGATCGCTAGTACGATTCATTGTGTATAGGATTCGTCACCGTCTCATAGGTTAGTATATCGTTTGTAAGCTGCTTTACCTGGATTGCTATATCCAGAATTGGGCTGCTGAGTTCAATCAGTTCAACATTTGCAATCTGATCGAGCTTTCAACGAGATCCTGTTCCACGCAATTTTAATCGATGTGCACTACAGTACATTGTACAGTATCCGGTACGGTACTTTATATTGTGTTTACTACTGTATATGTACTGTAATGTTCAATACTGTTCTGTATGACAGAGACCTGTATGACTGTATTAGTCAGTCATTTAGACCTGAGAAAGGGTCAGGTGACATCATTTTTGCTACTGTATTCTACAGTCAATTTTGGCACGCTCATGGCCCATGGGTTACTAATGTTACACTAGTAAGTAACCCATATGCCTAAGTAGTATGACGAAGAAGCTAGTTGCTAGCAAAAATAATGTCACCATGCAACAAAGATTGCAATGGCAGCTTTTAAAATTCTTATTATGATTGCACTTAGAACTTCCTACATAGATTATAACTTACAAGTTGCACCTTTACCTAAAGTGAGGAATATTGCTCTCTAGTACTTATTAGCCACTGGTTAATTATATATGGATAGTACTCGTTATGTTCTCTATCGCGACCCTAGATCAATCATGCAATACTCGGTTAGACACTGCAAAGTAGCCTGATGCGTGGAGTCCACTTCTTTATTCTGGGTTGCCTTTCCCACAAGTGATATATATATTACATACGTATTAGTAAATTACTAGTGAACGTATCAATACAGTTACGATATTAGTATCATATAGTTATCTTATCAGTTAGGCAGCTATGTAATTTATCTGCCCTAATTCCTAGACATTACCAGTCTATCATACATAACAGTACTTTCATTTTGTACTGCGCTATGCCGCAGTACAACGTTAAAATGAAGTAAATAGGATTACAATACTTGAATTCCTGATAATCGATAGCCTGAAAAATAGCCATCTCCGTATACTGTACTGACTAGAATAATAACTCAATCAATTGATGGATTAATTAGAAGATTATAAAGCAGTGGATAAATCTGTATGCACGGCAATATCTACAGCTATAACGGATAGTATAGTAGAATGGTAAATCGTAAATATGTCACATAGTACAGCCGGTAGACTACTCATTCCTCTGCGATGATGCTGTTAATCGGCAAATACCATCTATCTGCGACGACTACTGATGACTTTTCTACCGGCCTAGACTTGAAGTAATTTCAATTTCAGTTTTTAATTAATTTAAAGGATTAAAGCCCAACCGAGTTAATTGATCCATTTATTGTATATAATAATCAAAATTACTGCACTTGCTATCGTCCTCTTGTGATCAGTAAGTGAGTTGAGAACCCTAGAAGGAGGCAGTTATAGAACTATGAATTGGAAGCTTAAAATACTAATCCTATCGAAAATTTTTTACTGAGCAGTAATAGCATGCAATCTAATCATGACATGCCTTATCATTTAGAATCATCAAAAATATCCAATTACTTTAATGGAGAAGAATTGGAATATTTCATGTTCTACAACTTAAATGTATAGTATTATTAATTGTACAAATAATAGAATGGCTTAGTACAATTATCTTCTGCAGTACAAACCGATTAAGCCATATTTATACTCGAGATTTTTCGAGATACAATACCTCCTCAAAGCTAAATATTGCTCTAAAGGCGATGTTTAGATTAATAAACTTGCACGTCTTAAAAATCTTCCTAACAGTTATCAAGTGTAATTTTATTACCCAACATTATTGCTACAGGATCGAAATACAGAAATAGATATACTCTATACGAATTAGTTACAATTATTTTAATTGAATCTCAAATATATAATACACTTGCGTATTATACCCCATTTTACTCAGTCAACAGACGTAACTTTCCAAATTTAGAACTAATATCATAGACATTAAATAATAATAACACGTGTCTATCTGAAATCTAATCGTAGATACTTTCTCGTATCATAATATTTGTCGGCTATTATTCCTGACACTAGTTCAGAATTACTATGAGATGATAGTAACAGTATAAAATGATCCTGCCTTACTATAGAATTAAAACAACAACAATCACTACCCTACTACCAAAGCAGAAAATATGAAAACAGTTTGTCATATCATACTGAATTTTGTAAAACTCTCACAAATTAACGACATCTCAAATTTAGAAGATAATTCTCTATGTGTATACGGACAAGACAACGGATTTGAATAATAATTGCAAAAGGGTAGGGAGCTACTCACATGTTAAGGATTAAAAGATGCTTTCCGAGACTAAATACTACAAAAATGAGGCTACATTTACACAAGCATATGCTAAATAGATAACTTTCATCAATGGTAGATCAAAAGAAGTAACTGTAAAATGCTAAAAATTGTGTATTTACAATTGTCACTGCATCACAAAATGGATAAACAGTATCTTTGCTTTTAGCTGTTATAGATTTACATTAAATGTTTAAAATTCTTAATTGTAAGACAATAGAAATAAGCAATACAATTCTTCATTCTTTGTTATTTGTCTCTCAGATGAGGTCATTAATACCTCTCCAATATATTTCACGCTTCTAATCATTCTAAGAAGCAGCGTATAACGATTGACGAAGAGCATTTTGCTCATTTCTATTCAGTTGTTTCACTTGTATTTCTGTAAAATGAACTTGGCCACTTTCGACTGTATCATTAGAATGCCTTTCATCACCTGTGTAAATGATAATAATAATTACAATATGTTAAATAGCACATACACTTAATCAAAAAAAATAAAAGATCTGCTCATGTTTGAAGTTTAAAATTTTAACTGAATGCGATCTTTACCATTTGCAGAATCCATAGGGTATATTAATGAGTCACGCTGTTGAGATTTTCTTGTCTTTACAGAGGGTAGTTTACGAGGAGTTAGCTGTCCAATTGAAGGTCGAATGCCAAAGCGCTCTGTGATAATACAATATCGTAAAAGTCAATTCCATTAAAAAGAGAAAACATTGAAAGCAATATAAGTAATGATCCCAAACCTGGATTCTCCTCTCTTTCCTTCCTTCTGTTTTCAATATGATTATTCAGAATTGATTGGGCCTATAGATATAATTTTATAAAATAATAATTAAATTAACATTAAACTTATTCGCTAAACTTTGACCGTACGCAGCACGTGCATTACCTTCTGCATTCGAAAAATTTGATCTGGGTCAGTGTCAAATTCCGTAATTGCCAAATTATTTTTTAAAGCCTAAAGTTAGAAATAAAATATAGTATTAAAAAATTTAAAATTGAGCTAGAAAATCAATAACGGAATTAAGTAGTCAAGATATCTAATACAATAACCATAATCGGATACGATATCTTACTTGAGACGCTGTTGATCTTGCATGTGGTGGTAATTCAGATTGATAACCATTGTCAGAAAAGTCAAGCTCATGCTTTACAGGGGTTCTTTTAACACTTTCATAAAAAACATTTCATGTTTTAGATAGCAGTCAGCATACGGATAGATCAAATAATCTAAGTTAGTAATTACAGCTAAATATAATACTTACGCTCTGTTCGTTAAAATTGTATATACTCTTTCCACCAACAATATGGCAGCACCAGGTTTACTATGCATTGTACCATCTATTAATACTTTAGGAATGTCAATCCCATGCTTTTTAAATAACTAAAAGGATCAAGATTAAGGATTCATTAGCGTAATTTTCTAAACCAAATATCTAATTTTGTTTACTCTAACGTTGAACTAGAACATAATTAACGCTATGTGATATCATTCTTATCAGTTCGTATCGTAGTTCGGACAGATGAAAATCGATTTACCCTTTCTAATTGAGACCAATTTCCAATTTTTTTAGGTAGGGATGGAGCATTATAATAAGAATGCATATGTATCTCTTGTGGGAAGTACCAAGAAAAGATCTCAGCAACCAAGAATCCATTTGCGAAATCCCTAATGAAGTACAGTAAAAGATTGAGTTGGTATTCAATATGGAAATAAATAGCTTTCATCATATCTATTCGTTTTCACCAACTATCTCTCTTTCCTTCTTCATACTAATATCATAATAGCGATTTATTCGAGATTTACAGCAATAATAGTGCGTATATTGCATGTAATAGCTGTCAACGCTACTAAAATAGTCAAAATTGTTATCTTGATACCTTTTTGGATACTTTACAGACACCGATAGATCCAAACTTTGTAACCACTTAATCACTTCTCTCGCCAAACCGCTCATGATATCGTTTCAGTCCTTTTGATGATAACTTACAGTAACTTTTTGAGTTTTATAACTCTACCACAGTAATCTTGACGAACAGTCCTACTGTAAATAAAATAGTCAAATCTCTCTCTGCTTCTAGCAGAACTAAGTTGCGTAGCAACACTATCAACGATTTAGCCTTTGTGCACCCGATCCAGTTACTAGGATACGAGTAACGTACGATCATTTCTGCAGTCATGCGCAATAAGGATGACGTTGATTTGATCCGCCTCGGGGAGGGACACCGGTTTTACACCTGTAGTGACATTATTTTTACGCACAATTTTCAGTAGCGAGATGCCGTATACTACTATGATATACTGACTGAGTATAGTATAGGATAAACTACAGCACCAACTATAAATTATTAGCAAAAATAATGTCGTCTATGGCTCCTCAATTATTGACCACCCTACGAAATAGATCCGCTGGCATGGAATCCATAGTAACTACAGTACTCTACAGTACGGTTATAGTACAACCTACCGACACTTCGTGGAGCTGCTTTGCAAGATCAGCCGATAATTAATGCTCCGAGCTGCGGCATTGATCGAAAAATTTTTAGATATAGGAAAAATCTTACAGCAAGAGCGACAGTATTGGTTAACTTGCATGAAGCATCCTATTCCAGATGATTTGACCATGACAACGCTTCATTAAGATGGTAGCAAGCGAGCTGGAGTCCATTCGAGCATTATTATTTATTTTTTTATCAACATGTATACATGCAGCTATGATGGATGCCAAAAATCATTTCAAAAATTAGCTCATCTTACTCAACATTCAATTATCCATAGTGGCGAGGTCAGTCTATCAACCGTTGTAATGATTCTAGTTCTTATTTGTGGCTGTAAATTATCTATGCTGCTTGTTAATGTTAGATATCAATATTGAAATGTTGCTTGCGATTATCATCTTAACGTATTCATTCATAACCTACGTGTAGACTGTAATCTACATGGGGAAGAGTTGACTATAGTAAAACTAACTTATAAATTCTGTAACAAACGTATCGATGCCATTTTGATTATATCTAATTCACTATACAGTAAGTGCATGAGTGGCGTAAAGAAGGTGTATATTCAATATCTCTATCTATGTATATTCTTGTATGGGTTCCATTAGGAAAGTGTATTGACCTAGAATACTTGACGATAGGTTAATGCAGAATTTTAGAACAACAAATGGTAATTTGCTTAGAATTAATATTAACTGTAAATTTTCTTATGTTGTTACTATTCAGAGACCATATTCCTGCACATTTAAAGGCTGCGGTAAGACATTTACTAGGCAATATCACTTACAGCGCCATGCAATTCTACATCAAACGTTACGACCAGCATCAGTATGCTCCTGTGGTAAAGTTTTTATGTACCGATCAAATCTTATACGTCATCAGAAAAGTAACTGCAAGGTAATACTCTCAGTCTTTCACTTTTAATCTTTCTTGCATACGTATGCGTATACCAAAGTTGCTACAATCACTTAATAATCTATCCTATGTACTATACTCTACTGTACTTTTGTAAGCAATAACGTAATTATATAATCAATCAAATTATAGTCATTTCAAACCGAAGAAAACCTCGAGCAGCTTAATCGTCATAACGGCTTCACATGTAAACATAAAGACTGTAACAAAACTTTTTCAACCAAAAGCAAATTAATTAGACATGAAAAAGTTCATCAAGGTAATCTAGACAGATACTTTCTCATACTGCTTATATATACACGTATATATGTATATATATTTTTTTAAAGTCGATGGCAACTTAAATTTCTCATTTGGTCTAAACACACGAATAAAATCTTTGCTGAATAACTAATTTTCATGACATTACCAGGATACCCTTGCACATACCAAGACTGCTCTGTAGTATGTGAGACATATTTATTACTAAGGAAACACATAGCTAGCACCCATAAGTCTAAAGGTGAGTAGCAAAAACGTAAACAATTAAAGATGTACGTGTATATGCAGAGTGTTATGTGCTGTACACCTTACAAATAGTAAAGGCGATGGCAATAATAAAGTAAATGTTGACATATTTTACCTTAATTATTCATCACTAGAACTTAAATGCAAAGAGTGTGGCAAATTGCTTTCCAGTAATAGACTGGTAAGGAAGTTTTTAACAGTATTTGTAGATATCCACTGTGATGCAACATATCGATTCCGTCTCACCACAGATATAATATATAATCTTGTGTATAATCTAATTAACAGTTGAAAGAACATCTTAAAATACATCATGCAGAAAGAATATTATTCCCTTGTCCGATATGTAATCGTCAGTTTACTCGGGTAAATTATTGTCCTTACGATTACTGTGTCATGTCGTAAATTGAAATCTACCACCATCCCTGACTAATATACTGCATGTGTTTGATAACCACCTAGCGAAATAATATGATTTCTCATATTCGATCCCATCACCAACAGCATCGACTATTTTCATGTACAATATGTGAAGAACAATTTCCTTACAAGGCAAGTCTCTAATTATCCTTGGTATTATATAGTAAATAATAATATCGTAAGAATTTTGCAATATCGTGACCTACAAATACCACTATGCCTGTAGTATCATACTAATCATTAATGATCTGTTTATTAGTCATCATTAAAGAGACATATCGAATTAATCCATAATAGTGTAAAGAAGCCAAAGAAGGTCAGTCTTCTATAGCCGGATTACCTTCAAGAGCTTTTATTGAGTGTTAATTTTATTTATTATTTGTATTAATATCAGCCGAGAAAGAAGCGTAGCCTAGCATCGCGCATTAGCGGACACGCAGATATCCCCCCTATCGAGACTACAAATGAAGATCGAGGAGATAATGAATAATATTTGCTATAAATATGCCGGTCAATATTGTATAAATCTAAATAATTAAATATTGAAATGCTTAGCCAAAAAATAGTTTTAATGTGTATTAATTATTAGTCAATTTTAATAGCCTAAATTATTGATATACGTACGTGTATGCGTATATTATCTCAATATTTTGCAAAACTTGCAACTGTAACATGACTTAGATAATGATGAAAATTATTAATAAACATAACTTATTACAATCATTTACATGAACATGATATTGTAATGCCATATTCGTTCATGATTAGTACATTATACAATAAGAAAGAATTTTCTGAAATCATTTTACTCTTTGAATTAAAATCACTGAAGTATGAAGTAGGTTACTTAAAAACAATTTTAGCTAATTAATATGAAATTACTCTTATATAAATATTTTCCATTTACTTGTTATTATGTTACATTATCTCTTATCAATAGCTTTTACAGTAACTTCAATCAGCTAATGTTAGGTTTCTGGTACTGTAAGCTTAAAATATTTACGGTTACTTTTTTAAGTCTTTTTGCCTAATATTGATTTATTTAAAACAAAGAAATATAAGGTCAGCAGCTTGAAATATTATGAAGCATCACCATCAACTTTATAAATGCAATGTAATAATCTGTTAGTTATTGTTACAGGAATAACTTTGATTTGCGTTTTGGCATAGCGAGCTGATAGAGACAGCGCATGGATTCCCGTAATTCGTGCAATTCCTGTAACTAGGGCAATCTCCATTATATGCAACGAAATTTAATTTTGCAGCATCGGCGGGTTGTATTGTCTGATCCGTATTAAGCACATCATAAAATATTACACGTTCATAAGAATGAGATTGAGAGAAAGATGAAAAAAATTAAGTTAACGAAAGTTAGAATTAAATATTGTTTTTCTTTATAAGAAATTAATATTACCTGCCAAAAATTAAGATCGTCAACTAATTCTTTCCCAACAAAGCACAGATTATTGTTAAGCTGAATATAAACCCTTTGACCTATAGTTGTTAAATTGGCTATTCCATCTAGATTCTGTAATAAATTATTTAGCATAACAAATACGATGCCTCCTATACTTCGTACATTTCTCAAGCCATTGACGTTGACTAAATTCTGACAAAAATCAAAAGAATGGCAGGTAAAAAGCATGACGATTAAACACAACCTCAAACATGCTAATTAGTTATGTCCGATAAATATTTAGAGCTATAATATCCTATCAAAACAGCCTTAACATAAGCTATTACTTCATGAATAATACCACGCTGTCTTAGCTGAATTTAACATGCTTTAAGTTTGTCGATATTTTACAGTTCAATTGACTCTATAGTTAGATTCCTTTTAAGATTTATCTACTCTGCAGATGTATTTGTAACATCAAGACTTGCAGTTTAGTGTAATAAGGTTGATAATGCTTACATAAGAATAAATTTAAATTAAATAATACTCCAGCTATAGCATATACAATTAGATCAGCTACATTTTAATTTATCATGGCCTACAGCTACGTTGTCAGTAAAATCTAAATTATACCGTTACTGAAAATTCAAGCTAACTGGATACTTCTCACTAAACTGTAACTAGTTATCGTCTATTAAAGTATGACGATAAATTATATTTGTCTGATCCTGTTACTTATTAATAACCTACTTGATTTTGAAAGAGATACAAGGACCCTCGAATTGATTTTAAATTCTGAAAAATGTCTAAATTAGAAATGAATAAATTGCCAATGTATAAATTTCCTCCGACTTCCTGAATTCCGGATAAAGCAGATATATTATATAGATTTTCGTTTCCTTCCAGGTGTAGATTCCCTGCGAAATATCATTACAACATTTACAAATTCTAGCTATCATTTAGATCTATCTACTCATACTAGACAATTTTCTATTGTAAATCCACTAGAAAAGGTCAAAAATCAATATGTGACGTATTTCATACTTAATAACGAAAATATTAATCATAATAGGTACAATGTTATTAATTTCAATACCTGAAACAGCCTTAGCTCGACGTAGGATAGAAATATCGATTAATTGATTATTATAGCGAATAATAGCTCTACTAGCAATGTCGTTAACGAAAACGGAGGTATTATTTGGCGCATTAGCTGCTAAAGCAACAAGACTAATTAATTGTGAATTGTCATTAATTTCAATGCCACCAAGTTGCAATATATTTTCTAAGCCAGCTAAATCGACGATTGGCAAACCGCGAATACGTAAAACTTCCCGAATAACCTAGTGAAGCCATGAAATTTAACTGCCATTAAATTATAAAAAATAGTTTCTATTTGCAAATCAGCATAAAATAGAGTAATACGGTACAATAAACAGCAGATTATTATAATGAAGCAGGCTTGGAATACCTCAGCACGTTTTGTCACTCCTTATTAAACAAATAATAAAATAGAGATAGTATAAGTCTCTACTTACGGTAATATTCTCTAACGGCTTGAGAGAATCTATATCACAGCTTTGCTGATTTCCTAGACAATTAATATCTAACTCTTGTACTTCTTGGCAGCGGCCGGCATTCTTCAGCTGTTGATAATTTTCGATTTGGATAATATTCTGGCTAATGCATGATAACTTAACTGTAATTTCACTTTGTACAGTGTTACTTGTTATGCCATTGCTACCCGTCGCAGTAATATCTACAAATCTAGTAGCAATTACAAGTAAATAAAATCGTATTAAATGCTATAATTACCGCAACATTATGATCCAAAAAATAATTAGTTAATGCCCATCAAGGTAATGATATCCATAACATTAATTTAGGGGATCAAGCTTCTTTACCATTTCATATATTAAGCTATGGAAGATGAGAAATAATTTCTGCGTGCCTAAACAATCTTCTACTCGTAATTACTGTGATACGAGTATATTATATATACATATATATATATATATATATCCTAGCTCATGTTTTCTATTTATTCTACTTCCATCCATTAATGTAACCGTTATAAAATGGAGAACCGTTGCAAAAACTATACTAAAATTTTGACTATTTTTCTCAATTTCTACATAGAAAGCAATAAACTGAAGAAATTCCTCGTGCAATTGAGGAATATAACATAAGTATTGAATAACATTGAATAGCAGAATAGCTAGTAGCTATTCTCAATTATACATCCATAGAAGCATAACTACAGATTACTTAGAGGAATCCTATATTTTCTTCTAGTAGTACATGATAATAATCTAAGATACGGCGCTAATCTATTTATTCTACTTTCGTGCTTCAATGTAAGTAAGCCTTATGAAATGAAGAACTGTTGCGAGAGCTATATTAAAATTTTGACTAATTTTTCGCACAGGAAGCAAAAAAACTAGAGAAATTCCATATGTAATTGAGGGATGTAACATAAGCACTGCACAAAATTAAGTAAAAGAATATTCTAGCCATTAATTATACATCTATAGAGACATAAGTGCATATTACTAAGGGAAATCCTAGATTCTCTTTTAGTAGTATATGATAAACTCGTAATAATCTAAGATAGGACGCTATTACGATAAACCATACGAAATCACAGTAACCAATATTTCATTTGGGTTCGAGGCCTATCTTAAACTTACTTATTAGATACATCGGCTTGATTGGCAATAATATTTCCTATCTTTAAATAACAATATTGCAAATTTCGTAGTGGAAGCAGAAAGCGATCAGGTGATGTTGCCACATCATTACTAGTGATGATTAAGGTATTGTTGCTAGGCTGGAAGAAAAATAATAATTTTACGGAAATGAGATTACGAAACGAAACTCAGTTTTTACTCAAATACTTAACTGTCTTAAGCGAATTAAAATTGGATAAAGCACGTTATAGAATTAACAGTAGAAAATAATATTTCTAATACGAAGTTTTTTGATACTCCTTAAGGCTTATAAA